TTTTAATATTTGCTTATTTAAAAAAATGCTAAAATTAGATTTATTCTTGTAACTGATAACGATAAAGCTTTTGCAATTCATGTCAGCAATGCATTATGCATTAATTATGACAAACTAAAATTATTTTCCTATCACTTTGCAGTACGTTATATCCTCATTATGAGAAACTAAATCTAACCAGATATCGATGCTCTGTGCGAATAAAATATCTTTAATATTAATGACATTGCTTCACTAGACAAGTCGAAACACACGGCAGGTATAATACATCATTCAGTTATTTTACAACTTGAACTGAACAAGGGGCACACAATGTCCTACCTGAGACAGTATCCAGAGAAGGATTTCTTGACGAATGTTTTGCACACACTATGATTACAAAAAGACGTGAGAGCCAAAGATTTGGTGGATTTTAAGAAATGTTCAATGCTTTAATAGTCTAAGGGGTGGATATCTGATTAGCTATGGTTCAAAGGCTCACTACTACTAACTGAGAAAATGTTCTAATTCTGTCCATCAAGGTGATATACTTGAGTTATTACTTGTGTTGGAACTATAAAGTAGAGCTATTAGAAAGTTAGCGGAATCAACCAGTTCCAGGGGTGGAAATACTCTAGATACCAAGATCAGTTGCACTAGCGAACAATTAAACCTAGATCACAATCTTTCATGACCAATGAGGTTTAACATTTCAACAATGTAAACCAACGCTTGACTAGATTGAAATTATATGAATAGAATATTAATAATGTACAACAATAAAGATTGCTGAAATTTGATCTAATTTATTTGTTTAAATCACTAGAGTAAATGATTGGTTAAATGGAACGGAAACGACGACCTAAAAGGCAACTTTGTCATGTAATCAGGCTAATACAAGAAAATCTCTCCAGTGTTCTGCTAAGTTGTTTAGAGTTATATTTTATTAAATATTGTTTTAGTTTCAAACCCGAAATGCGAGAATGTAACAAAAACAGATGTTTGTTACTGATTTTAAAATGCTTATAAAGAAATGAGGCTATTGGAGTCATATTTGATATCAGTTTTAGAAAAATAGTTAGCTATACCATACAATTTATAATGTCTTACCGATAAAAACTGCTATATTCTTTAATTATAAAAAGTTACAAGTGTGTTTACAATATTCGCTCATACAATAAATACGCAGTCTTGACTTACTGTGCAAGTATATGATAAGCACGACAGCTCTTGGAATAATACTTTTATTAGATATTATTGGTAAGTACGTGTATCTTGTAATACATTTAGTAAATAAATACCTCTATTCGTGTTGAAAAGTTGCGGCTGGAGAATTTTTTTTCATTGTGAATTTTCAATTAAACGAATAAAAATAACTTATTTAAAAAATAGCAGATTGAAAAGAGGACCAGCGTGATCAGTAACCAAACGTTATTATCATTTTTAGTATTAAAGTTGTACTGTACTGTTTGTTTGTTTTGAATTTCTCGCAAAGCTATACGAGGACTATCTGCGCTAGCCGTCCCTAATTTAGCAGTGTAAAACTAGA